AGGACGAAGACGAAGACCAGGACGAGGCCGACGACACCAGACACCACAACGGGGCACCACGAGACGTTATCGAGGACACGTGTCCTGTAGGTCTGGCGTCACATAGGGGCACAACAAAACAAAGTAAAGAGTAGCTTGGGCATGACCTGTTACCTTCTGAATATTACCTTAGCTTTTGGCGCTGGAATGTGATTCAGCTTATTAGTGAAACATCTGTCTGCGAGGCTGAAGGCTTTCCCTGTGAAGATATTTCGCTCAGCATGTCCATCAGCTGAAAGCAACTGTACGTAGATACTGTGCACTGCGAGAATGCTCGATAGCTTGTCATACCTGTTCATGTGCTTGCCACACGGATCCGCCACCGCCGAAACGTATGCCTCTTAAGGCACTGCGCAAGGCTTCCTCCGAAGTGCCACTGTGACAGCTGCAGGTAATCCCACCATCCGTTTAGGCTAAGGTTGTCTAACGATACCGTTGTTTCCTGTTCCAAAAACCCTTCCGTTCGGGGAGGGGTACCCTCCCCTCCCCTCCCCGAGTTTTTTTTTGTTTAGGGGGAGGTGGGGGACGTGAGGTGCCAGGGCGCCCAGCATTGCTCCAAAGCGTCTGATGCTACAAAATGGCCTCCACCCCATCATGATCCCCCCCAAGAGGTCAGCATCTGTCAAAAACCTAAAGAATGTGAATCATGTTTGATGTCTCGTCTCTTCGCTTCCGATGCGCTGTTGAGGTCTCAAGATGGCCCCAAGATGGTATAAGAAAGGCCCAACGGGGGCCTATGAGGCCCCCGAGGCGGCCCCATCAGCGTCCCAAGAGCGCCCCAAGTGGCGATGTTGATGGCCTAAGGGGGGAGGAACATTTGGACCTCTCCATTTTGATTGATGGCCTCCGAGATGGCCCCAAGGGGCCCTCCAGCGCTTCCAAGAAACCCCAAAGAGGGCTCCAAGAGGGCCCGCAGACACCCCAGAAGAGCTCCAAGGGCACCTCAAGATCTCCCGAAAGCCGAAAGAGTCCCAAGAGGGCTCCAAGATGTGATTTTGAAGGCTCCGTCCTCGTCCTCGTTGTCCTCCTCCTCCCCTCGTCCTCGTCCTTGTTCTCGTCGTCTTCATGTTCATGTTCCTCCTCTTCCTCGTCGTCATCGTCATCGTGTCGTCTTCTGCCTCCTCCTCCTTATCCTCCTCCTCCTTCCTCCTCATCCTCCTCCTGCTCCTCCTCCTCGTCCTCCTCCCCTCGACCCGACGAGGGCCCCAAGGATAGCCCGAAGAGGCCCTTTAGGGCCAACCCCCTTGCTCCCAAAAATCTCTCTGTTCACCCTGGTTGCCTTTTAGCCTTCAGCTGTCAACCGTAGCGACGCCAAACACTACACTGGGACGAGACGGAACACGGCGGGACATCACGAGACGAGATTTCGTTAGCTGCTACCTCAGCGTCAGAGTGGGCAACCGCGGGATCCGTCCTGCTAGCTTGATCTTCACATCTGAAGCTCCGAACGCCAACTTTCGTGGTCAACGTTGGTGCTAGCTTCAGTTTTAGCTCCATGCCAACTTCAACTACGAACTACATATGAGCGATTCGCGTTTATCTTTAAGCCGTGACTTTTAGCTTTCGCTTTTCCGTGACTTTTAGCTTCCCGTGGCTTTTCCTGTCGGCGCATGATCGGAAATCGGGACACATTCGGGGCGCAATCGAAAATCGATCAAGAAACCATCGCATGCGTCATCGACGCGAGAACCATAGACCAACCGGGACACAAACGGGACGCAATCGAAAATCAATCTGGAGGAAGGAAAACCAACGTAAACAAACAGATTCGACGGTCCGCGCGATTTTCTATGAATTTCTTGCATCTGCCCGAGGGTCGCAATCGAAAACCGTTCTGGACAACATCGGGTGATTCAAATAGAGAACTCCCGGATGGTGTCGGAATCGATGGCGTCGGGGGATCGCGCCGCATCGTTGATGCATCACCGATGCATCGGTGACGTCTGCAATTCACCAGCGACGTGGGGAATATTGGGCTCAGCATCGAGACGCGTCACCGATGCATCGTCGATGTGGCACGATCCTCCGACTCCTATCTGCTCAAAATCATTTGTTCCTTTTCGCTACTGTTTGGGCGTGCCGGCCCATCCGTGCAAAGCGACAGAAAAACCAACAACCGACCGAACTGGCAGCGAAACCGAAACCGACCGAAAGCCGACTGCGGCGCTACTGAACCGACCGAACCGTGAGCACCCAAGAGATCTCAGTACGCTCGGCCGGCGCGCTTGACCCGTCGATAGCAATCCTTACGGCCCCCATTCGAAAAATGCTCCTCACGTCCTGCCGCCTCCCCCGCTGAGGGGCAACGATACAGGGGGGACTGGCACAAAAGGGGCACATCGAGCTGGAACCGACGATGCATCGCCGAACTGCACCGCGAGCTGCGAACACCGCCGGGACAGAGAATCGGGATGCCCAGGGAAGCCACGCCCCGCCGTCCGCCAGGAGCGGCAGCAGAGCG